ATATGACATCACCAATGGATATATTTCTTGCAGACGTCTCAATCGCCCTTTGTGAGTACCCTATTCCGACAATCTGTTCTGGAGGTATAAGGGAATATACCCGAACACGATAAGAGGTCGAGGCTATGGTTTGTAGAAATTAATTCCTGTCGTTGAGCCCTTTCATTAGAGTACCATGAAGGATAAAACTAGTTCCACTCCCCCCCTCTCCACCCAGTACTTTGATTAGAGGACAGAAAGAAGGGCAGTAGTTGGTAGAAAACGGAAAACCGCTCCTTTCGTTGAGACCTTTAATTAGAATACAATGAGAGATAACATTAATTTTTAACACCCCCCTCCCCCTCGGGCCTCGTCGCTCACTGATCTCGAAAAAGAGTCGCACGGGAAAGTTATACTTTGTACAAACCAATTTATTTCGATGAGACCTTTCATTAGAATATTTTCATATTTCATATTTTTTTTTTATTTGTGTTGAATATACATAAAGTATTTACACATGTCACAATAAGCAAGAGATAACAATCAGATATAACACACTTAAACAAAACATTTAGACTCTAAAAATTCTCTGGTAGAGAAGAATGCTTTTCCGATTAGCCACTTCTTTACTGTACGTTTGAAGTTATCATACTTCAAAGTTGTTATTTTGTCGTACCTAAAAATTGTACGCTATGTGTGTCTGTACTGCGTGTTATGGGGCGCAAGGAATTTATCAAGGTGTACGTTTTTGCCATGTTGAGAGACAGTTGATTCGCGTTAAACCATTTTTCAGTTTTTTCGAGCAATATGTTATTTGTTTCTAACGTGTGCTCCAGTATATAACCTTCGCAGCTTATTGTAGTATCATCAGCATAAAATCTGAAATCAGCATTTACATTAAGAGAAAGGTCGTTTAGGTAAATTAAAAAAAGGATAGGGCCCAAAACGGACCCCTGAGGAACACCCACATTGATCCTCAAAGAGTCTGATTTTTGTCCATTAATTTTGACAGACTGTGATCTACCTTCGAGATAGGATTGTATTAGACCTATACTTTTACCGTCAAAATTGTATTTGATTTCATGCTTGACACTATCAAATGCCTTACTCAAGTCGCAAAAAGTAGACACCATGTATTTCCCCTCCTCAAAGCAACGTAAAGCATTTTCAGTAAAATCAATAATAGCACTTTGTGTACTATATTGTTTTCTAAAATCATACCGTGAAGGGTAGTACATGTCCCCCCCCACCCCCAATTTTGTACAGTTTAACTTGGCACCACTAAAGGCATGCGTATGCAAAATCTGATACCAATTGGTTATCGTATGTAAAAGATATGCACGCTTTACTTTCAAAAACAGCATCTCAGGAAATAATTCGTATTTCAATAATACAATACAATACAATATCAAATTAAAATTCCATGCGTCCTACGTACGAAATTCAAATTACGTACTTTCATTGAATAAAATGTACTTTGCCCTCTAATGACGTGAGCGACCTCCCTCTTATAATTGCTAAACTGTGTAGCATAGAATCGCACCCGATAACGATGAATACATTTGGAGATCATGGCGTTGCCGTGATGATGTGCCTTGGCTCAATAGATGTCGTCAAGAAATTTTCTTTCCACAAAAACGGCCTTTAGAGTCAACATTTTTGGTTGAAATAACATTCATTCAAATATATAATGTTCAGACATTTGCATGAAACAAACATTATTTAGCTAATTCCTGTACTTACACTGTTATTTAAGAAATAAGAATCTTAAAAATTAGCCATATTTATCTTCCATTTTTATCCCACACTGATAACAATTTGTTACAAAATTTACTTCATTCACAAGTTTAAACCTTTAACTACAATCGATCGTTTACAGAAGGTCATTCTTTTACTTCGCAACAAAGTTATTGTGGAAATCGCAATGACACTTTTGTACTAGTTTACCATACATTGTAAACGCCACCTTAAAAAAAATAGTGCAATTTTGAAACAGTTGATAAATTTAATTTTGGAAGTTTCCCCATTTAGGTATCAGACTGTAAATATTTAAAAATTTAGACACAACTTGCCATATGCTTAGCTGACTAATGTACTGCAACTGGACTTTAAATTTGATACAATTAAATTAACAAAAAGTCAAAAATGAACAAAAAAGCGATGATGTTGCCATTTAAAAGAATTCAAGATGGCGGTTGCACTCAAAAGCATGTGTAAAAAAATTATATAAAATAATTTCAAATAGAAGTGTTCTAATTTTCATGTCTACGTCAGTTTGAACGCGAAAGCTTCGGTTCCATTTTTAATAGCGACCCTGTATAATATATTTCGTTCTGCCTAGTAGCTTAGCACAAGGTGGCCACTAGTATTTTCTAGTAATATATGGGGCATGCTCAAGCATTAATAATTGTCCGAACTGCATTTGACAGTAATGTGAATGTTACTGTAATGTAAGTCACACTGTTACGTACTAAACTCAGTTTCTTTTTTTTTACACGGTTGTCAAACTTGTGTGGAAAGTGGGTTGCAGAACTGTCAGGCATATCAATGCATTAACTTGTATTCATAGAAAATTTGTATGTTCAGACAAATTTCTCTACCGTATCAGCACAGACAACATATACAATGTTGTCTATTGTATAAGTAGGGAATGCAATACCGGGATCGCGGGTGCCCGAAATACCGGGATCCCGCAGCATTTTTGCGGGATTAATCCCGCACATAAATGGAGCGGGATCCCGCGGGATTTGCGGGACTGAGGAATTTGTCGCCCAAGGAGACGACTCTGTTTGCTTTGTTAATGAAACGCATTACGGAGAAATTATTTTTAAATAATTGTTAAACTTTTTTGTTAAAAGTGTACCATGATTTTTGAGGCACTTTAGAAGTTCAACTTTTTCTGCTTTACAGGTGATTTTTTTGAGTTCTAAGTTAGGCTGAAGGTACTTTTTTTGTTGAATATTGTGATAGTTAGCGATTTATTGTAATACAGAAGTTAACCGCACAAAATTACTTATTTGCCAATTTATTTAAAATTTTGCGGGATCCCGCAAATACCGTGATCCCGCGGGATTAACATCTAACGATCCCGCAAATACCGGGATTGAGATTTTGCTGCGGGATTGCATTCCCTAGGTATAAGTAATGTATAGGCAAGTTCTACGGAAGTCACGTAATAAGTATAATTCAGTGAGGGAAATAGACATAATTTTTTTAGGCAACCCATTTGTAATGTGTTTGTTTACATCTTAAGAATGTCAAAAAAAATGTATTTCACTCGGTAAACAGATGAGCGACGGTTGGCCTCATGTGAGATCTGATAGTGGTACTATTATGGGCAAAATATAAAGAACACGCTTCCTTCGGTTTGTGATATGGAGTCTGAAGATGATGTGGAGGACGCTAAAGGTGGTGATATTATTAATAAACAAAAAGGGAAAGAGCTCGCGGTATTAAAATAGCGGATAAGGCCCTGCGCTTGAAAATATGACCCAACAAGCTAGTTTCGAGATTCGATAAAGGTGATATAAAAGTAAACAATCGCAATGGGAATGAGATAAGACTTATTAGATAAGGTTTTTAGGCGACACGGCTCCTCTTATCGGAGGTAGGTAACGAAAATTGTGTGTGAGATACACTTAAAACATCAAATCAAAACATTGAAGTAGCTAAAAGGCAATCTTTTAAAACTGATAAAAAAGTAGAGATCGTGTGGACGGGTCCTCATGGATAAGCAGCAGACTTTGGGGATCGAGTGAGAAGGAGAAATGTGTTGTTAGGATGTTCATTAAAATCCTTGACAATCCTGACATTTCCAACCATAAAATTGAGTTATAAGATGGATCCTCGCAATTTTGTCGCTTGGCTGCCCGTGTAGGTACCATAGGTAACTGATAATCCCTATTTTCGCACAGTTAGTAACGGATTATGGAAGGATGTAGATGTAATAAAGAAGAATACTTTATGCGTGAGAATGTCTTAGTAATGCCCCATAATAACTACTTGTTTACAAAAGTAGCAGTTTACCTACCTACGACAATAGCACAAACAACATTTTTATAAAATGCACAAGGACCACTATCCTATAATATTGTGGTATTGGAAACCTTTAGGGCCGGTTGCACAAAGGCAGTTTAAACCTCGTTTAGATTAACGCAAAGGATTAAGACATATGATTAGTTGAAATTTGAAAAAAACGTCAAATTTCAACCAATCTTAGACCGTAATCCACTGATTAATTCCAAGCGAAGTTTAAACTGCATTTGTGCAACCGGCCCTTAATGTCACGCACCTTCCTTAACATGCAGCCTATTTGAAAGTTTTTAATAGGAAAAGAAAGAAATTCTTTTTTAATGCTCGTTTTTCTCCAGAAAGGAAAAAGAGAGAGAGAGCGATATCACCCCTTCACCACAATTGGTTCCCGCGTGGATAAGAAGTACCTATATCATTCACTTATATACAACGGTATTATTCAATATGAGCAAGTTATGTATTTCGCTCTGATTTAATCAAGTACCAATCATACAAGTACAGGCACAGGGTGTTTGTTAAACTTGCTGCAAAAATTAAAGAGTTTATTCCTTGGACTATTCTAAGGATATTTTATCTTTTAATGATTTTTGAAAAAGCGCTTTATTGCGAAAATACAGAGTATGAGCTATCTTTGCAACATTCCGCGATAATTTTGCTTTTGCTTTTGCTTTCGCTTTCGCTTCCGCTTTCGCTTTTGCTTCTGCTTCTGCTTCTGCTTCTGTTTTTGCTTTTGCGATCAGGTGTTGATTAAAAATTTGCTAATTAATGTTTTGAACTTTTGGAAGCGGTTAAAACTGCCGATTGTCATTGTGGTAGAGACTAGATGTTTGCCATTACACACAGAGAGGCGAATACCGAAAATAAAAATAATCGAATCAAAAGAAGGGGATTGAAAAGTGTGCAAAGAAAGCAATAGTTGAAATTACTGCTGAAGAAAAGGAAAGTAGAAAAAGACAGAGGTGAAACGAACTCACAAACGGAAAAGGAGTTTCAATTAAAGTTAAAAAATATGTTTATGTAAAACAATAATGTACTTTAATTTGTGTACTTATTGTTTTTTTGCTGTAATATATTTTATCTTTATTATCTAGGAACCCTTAAAAATAAAAAAACGGAACCGGTATAGAAACTAAAAATTATTAGGCACAGAACCGACAATCTTAAAAAATAATAGCACCTAAGTAGTGCGGAACTGGAATCTATATTTCATATGGGTATAAGTTTTAATTTTAACCCCTGCTAGGGAGTATCAATTTCTCGGAAACTACCGGTCGTGCTGATCAAGTTATAAGGCACCAAGAAGCACTACACGTGGAGGGGGAGGGGCTTCACATTGTAGTCAAACCTTGTATTTTTTCCCTTATAATTTCGTATACAGGTTATTGCAACACAAATAAATATACCAAGACTAACTTACTTAAACATAGCTACTACTATGTAAATGGTGATACTAATTCAGAAAAATATGCATACAAATTATTTAGTTTGTGTGATGATTTATTGCTTATGTAAATAACTGGGTAGGTATATATTGGTTAGGTAGGTGGTAAAAGAATGAGTTTATTTGCCTTAACTATAGTAGGCATTTTTCTAACCACTGTTTTATCATCACAAAACTAACTTCGGTAGAATGGAAATTCGAGGTATTTCTAAGGAATTGCAAGAAATTGCAGACAACGAGTTGAATGAGTGTGCTGAAAGAATCGGTGAAGATTTGCAACACATTCGAGATTGGTTACGACAGCAGCCCCATTTATGTGTTAGATCAGGTCAGATTATCCAACCCATGATAGAATAGAACATCTAGTGTGATTGATGACTATTTCATTAACAGATGACCAATGGTTTATCACATTTTTGAGAGGATGTAAATGGAGCCTACAGCGCGCTAAGGAGAAGCTTGATTATTTTTATGCAATGCGCACCCTGATACCGGAATTCTTCCAAAACCGAGATCCAATGGACCCCGCATTGCAAAGCATACTCGAACTAGGGTAAAGCAGCACTAACTGCACTAATGATACTTACGAAATTCTTGTAGATTTATTTTTCCGCTGCCCAAGACTCAAAATTCGAGCGGTCCTAGAATAATATTTGTAAATTACTCAGTGATTGACTATGACACAATCAATTTCCACGACTTAGTGAAACTTTTCTTCATGACGCTAGATCTATTAATGGTTGAAGATGATAACTTTGTTATATCCGGCCAAATATACATCGCCAGATACGCCGATTTACCACTCTCGTTTTATTTAAAGGCCACGCCAACAATTGCCAAGAAGTTTGCAATGTGTTGGCAGTTTGCCTATCCATTGAGGGTCGCAGGCTTCATTGGTACAGACACTCCTGTTGGCATGGAGAAACTGTTTAACGCCTTCGTCATACCTTTCTTGAGCAAAAAACTCCAAGACAGAGTGAGTAAAATGCGTTTCTATAAACAACACTTAACTATGTCTCCAATTAGATACACATGTACAGCTCACAGAATCATGAAAAAGTTTATTCTCATGTACCGAAAGCATTTTTTCCAGAAGAATTTGGGGGAGAAAATGGATCGTGTCACGTATTAGCAGGTACATAAACATTCCGCGACAGTCCTACACAAACGATATTTGCAGAACAATGGAAAACCAAAATGGAAAGTTACAGAGAATGGTTTTTAGAAGATGCACAGTACATGTCGAAGGAAGAATTACGACCAGGGAAACCGATAACATATAGTGAAGAATTTGGTATGGAGGGAACATTTCGGAAATTAATCTTGGACTAAAGTATATTTTTGACTGCTATGAATTGGAGGATTTAAAACACCACGGCAAATTTCCGAGGCCCCCAATATCTCATTTCTAGCTAACAGCGAATTTCCAAACGTTTTGGCAATAAATACTATAGGTAGACTTAGTCATTGTACAAACATACACTAGTGAGGGGTAGTAAACTCTTAAAGCAAAAATCATGTTTATTTAAAATACCGGGAATTGCAAACGTGCACGTAACATGTAATTCCTTTAATTGCGTAAATTTCTCTTACCGTTTGTCTGTCCGTGGGTTTTATTTTACCACTCGTAAGGTCGTGATTTTGTGACCTTCCACAGAAGTAGAAAATAGTCGATGATACGCGCGTCAAGTGGCGTATCGTTATTTGGTACCTAATCACTCCATGGGAATGAAGAAAAATAGCCTAAACCTTCAAACAACCTGGTGTTCAACAATGCTAGGTGTCACACTCCCTTTGAATTCCCTAAGAATTTTTGTATGCGTTTGCTTTAGAAAAGAATCCCCATGGTAGTGTATAGTATTGCAGGCTGAATGTCTAACGTAGATTTTGTACATTCTTGGGATTGCCTCTCACGGCCAAAGGTGTTAGTTTCGGTCCACTCGGTCAAATAATTCACAACTTTCTACATAAGTAAACGATGGAATATGAAATGTTCAACTTCGGACAAAAACCGTGTAACAAATATCAATAAATAATATTTACACAAAACATTAGATCAACAAGACGAAACTTGATTGAGATTTAATAACCGTGTAGCGGCGAAAAAAACAATCCTACTACAGCGACATTGCATGTCGTAAGAGTCGACTAATCCACATCATTTCGGTGTCGGACCCAGAAGTACGTTATTGCTGCTCTGAATACAGTCGTTGACAGGATAGAGGAGGGTGAACCTTCCTTCGACTGACAGGGTTCAACAGGAAGGCGCATGGTGGCATTATGTGCGAATGCGAGATCCAGTGAACCTTGAAAAGGACCGCTTCTCTTATCACGCCCTGGGACAGCGCGTTCCTGAAACTTGAAAGGTACGTCCCTATAGATACCAAGGTATCACGCGACAGAACTTGGGGCGGATGTTCCACCTGCGCCTCGAAAAGGGAGAGTGTAACAGGTGGTCGCTTCAGGCTTTAAAGATTTTTGTTAAATTTACAAATTTGCCGATATAGGAAATTTTATACGTGTACCGCTTCATAAGAAAAACGGAACCAATATGCGATAAAATAAAGTGCGTAAAGATAAGGACCAGTGTTCAAGAGGTGAGACTCGAAACGTTAACAATTAATTCAAGACAATGAAACCACTAACAACTAACAAACATGATCAAGATGTTTTTCAAAATAGAGAAAAAAAACCAAAAAGGCCAATATACAATCATGAAGACACTGGAAGTGCAATGAAGAGCTCATAGAAGATTAACAAAATTGTTGAAAAAAATGAGAGAAATGTGTGATGAATAAATACATTAGACATTAGAGTGGATCGAATTCAATGGGAGGAGAAGATTGCAACTAACCAGAGCCAGGTGGAAGAAGAAATCCAAGGGGAAGAAGAGTCGAAATACCACAATTGTAATGATAGAATCAACAATAGAAGGCAAGTCAATTCCTTTGGAAGGAGTTATAATAATTATAACAATTGGAGAGAAAGATGAAGTTATGAAGAGAATAGGAATTATAAAGAAAGAACTCCTGTTCCTCGGCCATATCTCGAGAACCGTTCGTCGTATGACTTAGGGGTAAAAAATTATTGGGTAAATCGGTCATGAAGAATCGCTGCAAAATATTTTCAAGTTCTATAAATGACCACTAGAGGGCGTAACTGCCATCTTACATTATAAAATTGCATTTTCTTTAAATTTCGCATAATAAACTAAACATTCTTTTTTTACATTTTTAAAGAGAACCCGTTTATCTATCGTTTTCGTAAAAATAAAAACTCATTTATTTCAAAAACCAAGATGGCTTGGGGCGTACAAGTGTTTTTGCCATAACCTGCTTTAACTTCTTAACCGTTGGACCGATTGTAACAATTTTGGTATCGTTGAAAACAGCATTTCTTGGGCAACAAGGATCAAAAAATATAGTTAATTTAGTTGAATCCAGCCGCCAGGGGGCTAGTTTTGACACTATGATCCAAAATCCTAAAAAAATCAAATGGAATGATAAGACTTTTTCTTTATGAAAAAGTAGCCAAATAACACCCAAAGAGGCCAGTGAAAACCGTTTTTCAAAATCTCGTTCCTAACCTCAAATATTGGGAAAATGAGATTAATTAATTAATTAATAAAAATGTTTAGATTGTATCTTAAATTTGTATTTGTCGATGGCGCGAAAGATTGTTTGGAAAAGGACCCAACACTTTTTGGCAGGCCTTGGAAAATTAAACAAATGAAACACGAAAATAATAACAGCCGTAATTTGTAAATTATTTTGCTGTGTTTACAGAAAGTGCAGTTTTTTGAATATGTAATCATTTCTAAAATGCCGATTTCTAACCAAGAAGCTTTTAATGTGCTGGCGGCGATGGTTCGTGGTCGATTCGGATAACGCAAATGGAAGATGCGGGCAGCGATGGTCGCATTTTGAAAACACTCAAAATATATCGCCAGCATATTAAATGCTTCTTGTTAGAAATCGGCATTTTAGAGAAGATTACAAATTTTAAAAAATGCACTTTCTGAATGTAAACACAGCAGAATAATTTACAAATTACGGCTGTTATTATTTTATAGTGCATCGTGTTTCATTTGTTTAATTTTCCAAGGCCTACCAAAAAGTGTAGGGTCCTTTTCCAAACAATCTTTCGTGTCATCGACAAATACCGGAAATGCGTCAAAAGTAAATTTAAGATACAATTTCAGCATTTTTATTAATTAGTTAATCTCATTTTCGCAACATTTGAGGCTAGGAACGAGATTTTGAAAAACGGTTTTCACTGGCCTCTTTGGGTGTTATTTGGCTACTTTTTCATAAAGAAAAAATCATCATTCCATTTGATTTTTTTAGGATTTTGGATCATAGTGTCAAAACTAGGATTCAACTAAATTAACTATATTTTGGTTGATTCTTGTTGCCCAAGGAATGCTCTTTTCAACGATACCAATTTTGTTACAATCGGAAAGCAGGTTATTGTAAAAACAATTGAACGCCCCATTTTTTTAAATAACTGAGTTTTTGTTTTTACGAAAATGATAGATAAACTGGTTATCTTTAAAAATGTGAAAAAAGAATGTTTAGTTTATTATGCGAATTTAAAGAAAATGCAATTTTAAAATTTAAGATGGCACTTACGCCCTCTAGTGGTCATTTTTAGAACTTGAAAATATTTTCCAGCGATTCTTCATGACCAATTTACCCAATAATTTTTTTACTCCTAACTCATATAGGACGAACGGTTCTCGCGATATGGCCGAGGAACAGTCTTGTTATGTCACCCGGTACAGCTCCGCACCCGGAAAACTGCAAAGACGTGGAGCTCCACTAGTCCCTTGGAGGTTACGAAGAACGCAGGACCAAACCCATTTAATTAAATTCACAAAAAATTATTTATAGAAAAATAAAATAAAAGAAGAAACAAAAATAACTGAAGAAAGAAGAGAAATTAAACATATTGAAATTGAAGGCACCAAAAACAAAAGGGAAGAAGAAAATTTAAGTAGGTATGTGATTTGATTGAAAACTTAAAGCAAATCAAATAAGAAATTGAAGAAGATGAAGCAAGAGGCCATGGATAGTCTACATATTGTTTTAAAGAGCTTGGGGAAGGTAGCAGAGAAAGCTAATGACAATGGGAATATATGAAGATTGTTCTAGAAGAATTCCTTCGAGTCAAAGAGTTAGCATGGAAATTTCGCTGAGGAAAAGTGAACAAGTGGCTTAAGAAACAAATGTTCTTCGAATTCTTTGAGGTATGCACTAATAGTTTTCCTTTAGAGAAAGGATAGATATCGATTCTACTTCCCTTCAGACATTGAATAAAAAATTAAGTTTATTCAATGCTTCAGAGCAGAAAAATTATGAAAAACGAGTGATAGTTCGATTGAATGTTTGTGAAGTGAAACTGAACATAAAAGCAGACGCAATTACGAAAAAGGCGAGTCATATGAAACTATAAAAACTATACTATCGTTGCCACACCTAAATTCTATAGTTGTTTATCTATCATTTTGGTAAGTATCCACTCGATTGCGGGAATCAATCCTTAAATCAGATACACTACGACGATAAATTAATCTGAAAAAAATTGTTACAGTTAAACACGTAAACAAATGGCGATTCGTCCGATTTCAAAAGAGTTGAAGGCAATAGCCATAAATGAACTGAATGAACGTACTGAAAAAATTGAGGAAGACCTACTTCATCTACAGGAATGGTTCAAAAAGCAGCCGCATTTGAATGTCAGACCAGGTAAGCTTGCATCCAAATCCACAGTAATTCATCTTACCCATAACTTATTTTTTCCTCAGATGACCAGTGGCTGGTAGCGTTCTTAAGAGGTTGTAAGTGGAGCTTGCAACGTACCAAGGAAAAAATTGATTATTTCTACACACTTCGCACACTGATTCCAGATGTGTTTCAAAACAGAGATCCACTCGATCCTTTCATACAGAATATGCTAGCAAAGGGGTAGGCACCGTGTCATATCTTAGATACCTACTCTAGTCTGATTTTAGAATTATTTATCCACTACCTAATGTAGAAGACCCCAATGGACCCAGAATAATACTTTGGGATTATTCGGTCATGGACTATAATACCATCAGATTCATAGATTTGTTCAAGTTATTTTTTATGACAATGGAGATATTAATGGTTGAAGACGACAGCTTCGTGGTCTCTGGGGCCGAATTTGTAATAAATTACGAGACAGTTCCGCCATCGTTCTTTTTGCAGTTTACCCCCGCATTAACAAAGAAATTTATAATGTGTTGGCAAAACGCGTACCCTTTGAGAATAAAAACCATGGTTAGCATCAACGTACCTCCCGCTTTAGAAAAAATTTACAATATCTTTTGCAAACCGTTCTGCAGCCAAAAAATACAAGACAGGGTAAGATTAAGTATCAGATTTCCTTGTAAGCTACATAATCCAATCAGGTGCATCTGTACAGTTCCCAAAACAACGATAAGGCCCATGCTCACATTCCCAAATCCGTGTTTCCGGAAGAATTAGGTGGCAGAAATAGTCCTCGCTCCGAAATCATAAGTAAACCTTCGATGCACCCATAAACCCGCTATTTAAGTTATTTTTTTAGTGCAATGGAAGAAAAAAGTTGAAAGTTACCGAAGTTGGCTATTGGACGATGATAAATACTGTTCTAATGAGCAATTAAGGCCAGAAAAGCCTAAGACATACGACGAAGAATTTGATATGGAGGGAACTTTTAGGCAATTGATTTTAGATTAATCATTCGAAAATTACCTCTCAGGTTATTATAATAATTAGAAATTTACATTACGTAAAATGTAAATAAGAAAGATGGTAAAAAAGATTTAACTGATACGTGTATATTTTTATTTATCCTTGTTGAAACTCTCAACTGTTTCAACAACACCTTTGCACAGGGCGGCATGAAGGGGTCGGCCTGCCCCGGGCGCCGCCGTCACTTCTGGGGGGTGCTTCTCAAAACTTAATCTGCGCTCTACAAAAGCAGATTACAAAGTCTCGCAATGTTATCGATAGAAAAAGAAATCTCTCTAGAGATCAATCATGTGATGTAGTAGACAAAATTTAGTGAAATAAAGGCACGTCGTCATGTGTATTTTGAACAAACTTTGATGCTGTATCTTAAAAACCAAGCAAGATATAGAAAATATAAAAATACCCCCTTACTAAAAGACTATTTTTACATAACGCTTATTTTTTATCCTTCTTTGATATTCCCACAAATAACTGAGTTATAAACAAAAACTTTTTATTGCATTTTTGGACTTTTGCACTGTTGCCACGTTCGCGCAAGTCATACGTCAAAATGAACATCGTTGATCTATGCAAATTTGAAAAGTAACTACGAGAAGTGCAAACTGCATCACTCTCGCATCGCAAAATATACCTGAAAAACATCGAAAACAAGCAATTTGGAACACCCTGTACATATCTGTTTCCACTGTACCTACCGAGTTGTAAATTTGGCGGCAAATGGTAGAGGGGGGAGGGGATGTATGAGGGTGCAATTTTGGTTGGCCGCGCCGGTCACACGGTGGTGTTATTTTCTATTGATGGTTGGGAGATCCGCCATGTTTTGGCCAAATACAGCGGATTGGTGGAAAATTAACCTCGAAACCAAGGTAATGAGTTTATCTTGCTGGACACAAATGTGACTCTCTGAAAAGAAAAAGTAAAAAAATTGCTGTGGTTAGCACAGATACCACCAGCACACCTGCGCATGCGTGATTCTGGCCTTTTATGTTAAGAATATGTGCGCCAAATTTAGTTCCAATCGGTGCAACCGTTTGGCCGGAAACGAGAGCTTGACACACTTGCGCATGTGTGTCTGCCCAAAAGTTTTTCACATCTTCCGTTTATGTCCGAATATATGTACCAAATTTGGTTTAAATCGGTTCAGCCGTTTAGCCGGAAATGATAGTACAGACAGACAAACCGACCGACACACCGAACGATATAATCGAGATTTTGTTTGATTCCGATTCTTGGTTTCAAAACGTGCATTTCCATAAAAAAAAGTGGGGGGGGGCTATTTTTTACCCCAATTGAATGCATCCCCTACCAACGTGCAGATGGTAAAAATAAAAAAAAGGTTTTCTTCGTCTTAAGGCGAGTCACTTTAGCTCATTTTTTATCACCAAATTTATTCAAGCCTAGGCTAAAAAAATAACATTTTGATAAACAATGGTAGGTATTTTCAGACAAATTCCAGAATATCATTTATTTCTTTTTTTTATGCTCATATTATAAGAATTTACTCTGTCTATCATCGTTTTCCGCCAACTAGCATCAGGGACCCGGGCCCAAATGAAATATCGGTTCCGGTTCTGTTTATATTTAAGCGAAAATATTTATAACGGTTCCGGCCGGTTTCGGTTCTAAAACGAAATAACGGTTCGGTTCTACCCATTTTTTTCGGTTCATTACGGTTATTTGCCGTTCTAGTCTTTTAGAAAGTATGGCATTCAAAAAATTCATTATAACAATGTGATTTGTTAATTAATAGGTGTGAAAAAGAAGTCATGAATACTAAAACGTGACGTATCGTCAGTGTAGCTAATTTGTAATGACAAGGGGAATAAAGGAGGAAGAGGGAAATATGTATTTAACTTAATTTATTACTAAAAAACAGAAAAAATATACAAAAAGTAAGAAAAATACGTATTGTTTTTTATTTTTATTTTCTTAAACCTCGCTCCTCCTTTTATTATTTACATTTAGGGTAGTTGCTAAATTAGCGCCACCGCCACCCGTAATACCTTCAAATTCGACACTTTTTATAATCCACCGATGGCAATGGCAATCATAGAGTAATATTTTATCAATTTTCAGGACGTGGTTGTCGGCGCGTCCTTCAACTTCCAATAACCTGTTAAGAACCGTAAAAAACCAAAAACAACCGAAAAAAGTAATATAGGTTCCGGTTCTCAATACGTTTCCATTTCTCAAGGAATAACGATTTCGGTTCGGTTTTCGGTCCAGAAAAAAATACCGGTTTCGGTCCGGTTTTCGGTTCTTTTTCGGACCGGTCCGAGTCAGGTTTGACGCTGCGAGAATTTAAACTTTAACTGCTTATTGCTCCTCCGACACAATTATAAGTATTAAAACATACGCATCTAGGACTCATGGTTTGTTACCATGGCAGCAGGGCTCACTGGCGTAGCGGTTTTCTTTTGTCGGGAAGAAAATTGCATTAGAAATAAAACATGCTGATTTGCTATTGGTTTAAAATAGTCCAGAATCCCGTTGGTTCCGTTTTTAGTCTGATATAAATAGCTCTGCGCTAGACTAGCCGAGAGAAATTAGTAAGGTCTTTGGAGTTACACACCTCGTATGCGCGAATTTAATAGTTACGAGAAATACGTAGCGTCTTTTGAAATTGTATACTGAGAGGTTAGTGGCGTCTTTGGAAGTGTACACATAGTGCTCACGTATATCAGATGAATCACCTTTGAATTTTGTACGCTTTACAGTTCCGATTGTAGGTCTTTTAAAACTTGTACTGTGCGTTTTTGAAGTGACTACTTCTTTATCACTCGATATGCACTATATGTTTTGGCCGAGAATAAAATCATCTTACGCGTAAGAGATGATAAAGTGCGCTTTAAATCCTGTGGTCGTTACGCGTAACGCTCGACAGTCGAAGGCGAGCTCGGTCCGCTCACTTGGCTCACAATTGTTGAAAGCGCATTTGCCCACTTGAACGGAAATTGCGCCAAAAGTAGAAAGCGAAGGATTATAAGAGAGAAAGAAGTGGTAATTTCTGTCGGCACTTACCCAAGTGCCACTTTCGTGTTTTTGTTTTTTTTTATTGAGGGAGGTTTAATGATTTGCCTATGGCTTTTTGACGTTACATTCTGTGAATGCTCGACTCCTTCAACCATATAGAAGCGGAGTAGCTTCAGAAAGAAATTTACCTGCTTCCATAGGCTAATTTGCCGTTATTTTTTATGAGGGTGTCGCAGAGCTCTAAATCTCGCTTGGTTGCTAAGTAGTCTTTTGGGCAGAAAAATTGATTTTGCATAGATGAGAAGGCCTTCCACATTTAGTAATACCCCGTTTTAAAGACGATGATTAAGGTTAATCGATTAGTAACAACATTAAAAAGTTAGCCACCTTTATTAGGTAATATGTTTAAACATTGTTTGTGAAACGGGATATAAGCCTATAAGCAAATAGTAATTATGGTTACTCTTTGGTATACCTAAGTCTGTTTTATATGTTTTTTTTAATTATAAGTAATATTGTGTTTGTTTTCGACATCTTCCCATAGTTGGACGCAAGTATTGCGAGATATAATACCTGAATTTTTTGGTAACTTTTGTACGTTACCTATGACGATAAAGGTTTATGACGACAATTAATATGAAAATGAGCCATAATATAAAATCAGCGAGAAGGTAAGCATTGACCTTAAATATAATCGGACTGTGATGTTGGTACTGATTCAGTTGATCATGGAAGCTAAAAACATACAGTAAGAATCAATTACTACTCTTAAGCAGGGGTTTGTAAAACGACATTTGTTTGATTTTTTTAGTTATAGCAATGAAAAAACTCGTGGTTTATTACAACAAAAAGCAATAAAAGAACTCAATGAGGACCCAGCAAGATTGGATGAACATTTACTACATATACGGAAGTGGTTGGAAAAACAACCTCATTTATCTGTCAGATCAGGTGAGTCTCCCAATAGCTAATATGCTACTTTCAAGGCGATTTGCACACATAACTGCTGTTAGTCTTATTTTTCAATAAGAAATTTGAACAAAATAAAAATAACGATAAAAACTCATTGAGACTAATATATAAGAGTAGTGCCAAAGAAGCCAACAACGATAGCTTTTAATGTTGCAATTGGATAGTAGGTTACAGGTATGATAGGCAGACTGGCTTAGAGGTCTCGATTTTCTTTTAGCTAAAGATTACCTAATAACTTTTCCCCCATTATATCTCAGCGCATTAATGATTTTATTATAATACTAATTGTGCTCATGCTTATTTATGGGCTGTTGGAACTAAACGAGCAACTCTCTGGAAAAAAACCAAAGCTTTTTTAACTGTTTTCTGCCCGTGTCTAATGGTCGATTCTCACTTGGCGACGCGACGCGCAGCGGCAAAATATTGCATCCAAAAGTTCTCATGTTTTCAAGTACTCGTACAGCAGTTCTAACTAGAGGCACGACGCAGCAGCGAAGCGAAGCGTCACAAATCAAACGGTTCCAAAAGTGCTGTTGCGCGTTGCGACGCGTCGCCAAGTGTGAATCGACCATTAAACTCATAATAGTACACGATTCTCACATAAAGGTCAACCTTCACTCATCTGTTTGCCGAGTGAATACCTTTTTTAGCAATCTTTTTAAACAAACACATTGAAAATGGGTTTGCCTAGAAAAATTAAGTCATGAGTCCCCTTAGTTAAAATGAATGTAATTAATATTTCTGTCACATGATGCGTACATCACGGTTTGCTGTTACGCTTCGGAACACGGAACAATACACATGTTTCTCAATTCTCTCTCGTGCGCTACTTAGAATTGCGACAACCGTACTGTTCCGTGTGAAAGACAAGAACGCAGCGCAATAGCTGATCGTGGTGTACGCATCGATTAAGAGAAAGCGCGAACGCTCTCTCCATGTGATAGAAGCAGACAGAAATATTAATTTTAATTAAAGGTACTACTGACTTAATTTTTTTATGCTTTTCTAATGTGTTTGTTTACTTACATATTAAGGTTGCTAAAAAATGTATTTCACTCTGTAAACAGATGAGCAAAGGTTGGCCGTATGTGAGATAAGACTACAATAAATATGCAAAAAAAAATACAATGACAAACTATAAAAAATGTTAATGATGGATTTATGACTTTCGGTTGAATAACTACGCGCATAATCTTTTTTTATTAAAACATATTTGGTTTTATTGGGGATTGTGTTAAAAATGCAATGAGTAGGTAATAAACTGAACGCAGGGCGTTTCATTTTTTTTTTCATACATTTTGTAAACTTTATGTAAATTTTATTATTGTATTTATGTACCTATGGGACCATACTCGAGACAGAACAAATTTAATATTCAATTCAAGTGCGATTACCTACATCACTCTAGTATCTGCATATATCACCTTTTGAGCTACAAATTTTATGCAATGAATTTTGAATCTAGAGATAAATAAAATAGCGACTTTTTAAGTTCTTTTCTAGTTGAACCTTTCGATGCATGTTTAGATTTCAACGAAGCAAGAGCAGAAAATCCTGTTTGACAAAGGTGAGCCATATAGGAAAAACAAACAAAATCTATCCAGACGTTCCACTTGCCCTGTATACCTCTTCCGACCCTTCGTTTTTAAGGTATTCACTTCGACTTCAGCAATAGATATGTCTCGTCCACACGATTCATTTTCCTTTATGGGTACTCTCCTCTGACAAACTGTTATCAAGATATTCGCTTTTGAAATTTTGACGTCACCAATGGATATACTTCCAGAAGTCCTAATCGCGTTTTGTAAGTACCCTCCTCCGACAATCCGCTCTTCATGTATAATGAATTATAACCGATCACGATAAGAGGTCGAGGAGGAGGAGTATGGTTCACATTAATTCCTTTCATCGAGATCGAGTACCATGAAGTCTCCCCCCCCCCCTTCGCCCTCAATTTTGATGGGGTAAAAGGTGATTTGTGGGGGCGCCCTCCCCTTTAGACAATAAAATTTGATGACCGTTTGGTACACCTCAAGGTATAAGCTACCTATATACCAAACAAATTCCAAGACTCCCAAGGCAATTCCTCTAAAATAAGTTCAACACGGCAGAAGTGGATCCAGACGGCCAATTAGTCACTTTTCTATTTACTAAATAACCCTTCAAACGAACAATGAAAAATAATACGTAATATCTGCTTTTTGCAAGCAAATCAAAATAAAATTCATATGTTTAACTCCGTTAGAAGACTTCCCTAACTTAGTCTTGTTGCGTGTAAAGCGAGACTTCCATCATAATATAATTATTTTTTCTGCTACAGAATCGCGACTCAGGTGATTGTTCCTGAATACTCAACGAATCGTTTACATTATTATCAAATGCCTTTCATGCCTTAAGACTAAAACGCACCACGCACGCAAAAGCTATAGATACAGTGCGGTAAACTTAACGTGAAAGCAAAAATTAAACGGTATGAATGCAAAATAAATTTACTGAAAAGCTCAAAATTTCGGTACTTACAAAACGTAAGCAAAAGATTTTACGTTTCAGTTAAAACATCAAAAGTGAAAGGTCCCCTCTAAACAACAACTTATAAAGTTCGACTATTTCAATTTTCGTGGAAGGATCGACGGTTTCCCAGCCGGCTCAGTGTACCAAATACGACAGCGTTAAAATTTAAAGCTTCCTTAATTAATTGTGCGGCCTGCGGAGGTCCTAAAAATCTGTAACTGGTCTTAAAATTCAAATTAATTAAGTGTGCTTCTTTTGAGACCCCCCGCGACTTACGATGCTAGTTACTGAAACACGTTTATTTAGCTGCTGTTAATTGACCTTAATTAAGTGGCCGCGCGGATTGAAATTTCTAAAGTCGGTCGTCCAGTAAGGCTCGTTGTTAATTGGAATTACACGGGTCCGCATAAAAGTCCCTTTTAGAAATGATATGAGCGTAAACCTGCATGGCCTTACAGCTTTAATGCTCTTTTTAAATTACCATAGGAAACAAAAACATGCTAATAATGTCTTAACGTGGCTGAAATTCTCAAATATTAATGTGTCCTTGTCTTCTAAATGATGGAGGAGACTTTTTCCAAATAATTTTATGATGCAGACGCTTTTAAAGGAGTGATACACCTGCATGTCAGCATACATGTGAACTAGACACGTCTTAGGAACCGATGTATAAAATGAGCTATATAGAGCATTCGGACGCAACGAAATATGTTGACGGGAACGGTTGAAAACAGTGGGCAAATTAATTGCAGCTTTTATTTACGATAGCGGCGCCTGAAACACCCAACTTAAAACGCTTCTAGATATCGGGTGTTCATCTACAGAGTCCTCATAAAAGTATGTAAACTTCAAGTCGGAAAATAGGTGCTTCGTTACAAAAGCAACTCGATTCCTTACGACTAACATGTCGAAAGCCGAGTTGCTCGCATGTGCAGAACTAACTTTCTTATTGGTGGTGGGTATAGGGAGGTAACTACAAAGTGTACAATATGTCTGTAAAGTTGGCCCCAATTGCATAGCTGAGTAGAATGCTTTCAAGTTCAGTTCTTGAACACGTGTTATCCTGAGCCATAATTTTTATGTAGGTAACTTTCATGTAGCTTTTATCAAAGAGTATTGTATACTCTTTGGTCTTTGCTTTTATGTAACGGCCGAACGCGGCGCGGCGAAGCACCTTTTTCGGTTACCTGAATGAAAAGTAAAATTCTTACAGACGATCATACCCTGCTCACGTTTCTGCGAGGATGCAAGTGGAGCCTTCAACGTGCTAAGGAAAAGATCGACTACTTTTGGACAATACACAGCTTTCTTCCGGATCTCTATTTAGATAGAGATCCCTACGAGGAAACTATGCAACGTATTCTTAGGAATAGGTATGAATAATAACCTCTTAATACATAAGGGCTTAAGTCTAACATTTACAGAGTGTTATATCCTCTGCCAAACCCTGTTAGACCCGACGGTCCTAGAATATTATATTTAAATTTGAAGCGCATCGACTTTGCCTCAATGCCATTGTTTGACCTTATCAAGTTATTTTTGATGTGTGTGGATGTATTACTGCAGGAAGACGAAAATTTTATTATTTCTGGGATGATTATAATGTATAATGGTGGAGACCTACCGTTAAGCTATTTATTGCAATTTACACCGGATCTCATGAAGAAAATTATTATCAGTCTTGAAAATGCATATCCTATAAGGATTAAGGAGCTTATTTGGATGAATTGTAGCTCAGCTGTGGAGAAAATATTTAACCATATTTGTATACCTTTGATGAGCAAGAAACTAGCAAGTCGGGTAAGTACTCGTTTTTGGCACCATTTGGTGTTCAACAAAATTATGCAGTTACATCTAATTACTGAAGAAAATACAGAAAATGCCTACGAATACGTACCACTAACTTTCTTTCCCGAAGAACTTGGTGGAACGAACGGACTATTCCCGAAAGTGGCAGGTGATCCACAACAGCGCGGTTTTCAAAGTGGTTTTATATTTATAATCGCCATTTTAGATGACTGGAAAATGAAAATGGAAAGCAAAAAAGAATGGTTCCTTGAAGAATGGAAATACGGTGCAAATGAAAAATTAAGACCCTGTACATCAAAGTTGTACAGTGAAGAGTTTGGTATGGAAGGAACATTTAGAAAATTAAATTTAGATTAGCAGGTGACTGTTTTACATACGTTCCAAAATTGGATACCTTTGGCAGGGCGCGCAAATTTACATGACGTGGACGGTGTTCGTGCATTTTATTTGTTCTAGGTACTTATTCTATTGATACGGCACTGGGCACGATATAAGTAGGTTATGTCGTTTACTATTTTACAATTATACACTTTTCAAAATCAGATCTCTTACATGTTTAATTTAACCTATTCCTCCGTGCTGTTTTATTTATACTAAGTATATAGCTATCGATATGGTTCAAAATTCAAATAAATAGAGTTGCGACCTGAGCTGACAAAAACTTCCCTTAAATAAAGTAGAAGTGAAGTAGAAATGTATACCTATGAACGTAAGAACACTTTGATATCTAATTATCACCGTGATTTTCGACGAAATAAGCGAACACTGTTAATGTAATAAACATCATTGGCGTAACTACAATGCCTCAAAGGAACGCAATGAGGACGGGCCCCGACTTAAAAGAGGCCCCGGCAAGAAATGGACAAAAATTTAATTCAATAATAAAATTGAAAAAAAAACGAAACTGCATGCTTCCTTTTACAGTTTAAAGTTACAGTCCGAAGAAAATTCTGAATCATTGTTCACGGAGGGTAAATATAGGTGAAAATATCCTTTCCCATTTGTGAAATATAACATTCCGAAGTCTCTTACATAAAGTACATGAAATACTTTGTTAATTAGCGCGACCTCCTCCAATCCAGAAGGTATCTGGAGGTCTTGGATACGGTAACCTTAGACTGAAGTTGTATTTCGAGATGAATGCCGCTAAGTAATTTTAACACTCCAGCATTACCTCTGCACGGAGTAGCAGACATTTAAAAAGGAGCAGATTCATACACAAAGAATTGAAGTGGCTAATCAAACTAAACGGGTTTAAACATCGAAAGAACTGGCCAATATTAAGCAAATCAAAATAAGGATAACACCTCGTGTTGGATTGGTAATATGATAAGTTGGACTATGCTCTGTAACTGGAACGATATCGATAGCCTGTGGTAGGTATCCTCACCCTTGTTTGGCACGTTGTTTGTATAATCATCCTTGCCTGGCACATTGTTTTGTAAAACGCATAGACACGCCATGTGAGTGAAACACGATGAGGAGCAGGTTGCAATACCTCTCAATTATCTCATAAATAAAAAAAGTTGACATCGCGCAGCCTGCGCACATCTGATTTTTACTATAAACGATATGCTCGTCTTTGCTAGGAGCATATTTACGATTAAATTTCAAAGAAATATCTCCATAAACAAGAAAATTAGATTCGCACAGTTTACGCATGCGCTCATCTGATTTTTACTGTGGGCGATATGTTTAGACGTCGTCTAGTATAAAAACAGTGGCAGGTAACCGCTCCCTGCAAAACCGGCCGCCTGTGAGGAGTACACCATTTGTGCTATTATATTTTCATTTCAATCTATCCCATGCGAAAAAAAGACATCAATATTGCAGTGGGCGGCTACCTGCGTGACTGACGTGACTGTTTTTTTTACTAGACGACGTCTACCTTTACTAGAAGCATCTGTATTAACGTTTCGCAATAATAACACCTGTATATATAAGAAAATTAACTTTGAGTAATCTGCGCATACGCGTTTTTATAATATATGCATTTACTGGTACATGTGGTAAAAATTTCTCAAACTGTCACCGTACATAAAATAGTTGGCATTGCGCAGTCTGCCCATGCGCACATCTGATTTTTACTATATACGATGTGCGGTCCCTAGTTAAAATTAAAAAAAAAACATCTCCATATATAAGTAAGTTGATTTTGCGCAGTATGCGCATGCGCACATTAATAGTCAAGGACTTTTTTTGGTCAGGTATCAGAATACAAAAAGGACGCACTAAATATATTAAAAACTGTACCCGTAGGTAAAGCCTCAGACGAACTAAGAGAAAAAGTTGTTGCAATAGCGCATCCAGCTTCTTTGAAATATGCGCCAAAAATCACGGTACAAACAGGGTCTCTTTAAATGTCCCGTAGTGCGTAGGAAAAAATTTCGGGGATTTCAGGATAAGGTCCAGTTAAGGTAAGTTTGCAATTTGCCACGTGTTTTTAGCTTATAATTATATACCTACTATGTAGGTACTATACCAGACTCGACGAATTTCGTACCCCCTTCTTAAGCCGTAGTAGATCTCGCTTTGGCGCCATCTAGTTATATTGCGATTTAAATTACAGAAAATAGAAAAACGTCTTTCCGTGCATCTTTTTGGAAATTATCTTCTATACACACGTCTGAAGTTATGCGCGTACATACATTTCGACGGTACCTTTTTATTTATATAGATTTTTGAAATGTTAAGAGATATGGAAATTTAAAGAAATTAGGATTTTTGAAGATTTGAGAGTTTGTGAATTTGAGACTTTAAAACATCGAGGTCTCTGGATTAAGAGATTTTGGAATTTTTCAAATATTGGGTAGTTAAGGTTTAAAAACGTTTGTAATTTTTGAGGCTTTTGACACATTGAGATTTTGGAAAGTTGTTTTTTTTATATTTTGATATTCTGATATTTTAAAAAGAAATTTTGGGAATTTGATGTTTTGGGATTTTAAAAGAGAATTCGTGAATTTGGGATATTTGACATTTTGGGAATATCAGAATTTGATGTGAAATTCTCTGGAAGCTTTGGAAATTTTGAAATCCTTTTAAAACTTTCGAATTTTTGGAACCTTGATAATTTGAGATTTCGAAAATCCGGAAGATCTTGGTAATTTGAGGTAGGAATTTTTTGAAATTTCGGGATTTTTAAAATGTTAGAAATCTGAGGTTTGATACTAATTGGTAATTTTAACATTTTTCAAATTTGGGTTTTTATCGAAGCATGGGATTTCGGGATTAGGTACACGATTTTCAAATTTGTGCTCACATTTTGGAATTTATTTATTTTGGGTCTTTATCTCCATGTCCGAACCCAGTACCGCAGTCGAGCTTCAACTCAACTGCGCCACATGGGCAATTTTAAAATATGCATTGACAATTTGAAATTTTAGGATTTCTAAAGCTTTGGAGGTATAAGATTTTGGAATTTATTTGAAATTTCGGTAATTTACATTTTGAGGTTTGTAGATTGTTGGAACTAGAGAAATTTGGAACTTTGAAAGTTTTAAATTTTGGTAATGGGCGATCATTCATTGGGGCGATCAAAAATGAGTTGCTGTGGAGTCGCCTATTTCGAAGTTCAAATTAAATATGATTTTCCATGTAAACAAAAATTCCAGAGGTAAGCAACTCATTTTTGATCGCATAGTAGTTTAAAATTTAGAGATATTTGAAAATTTGAGTATTGGCCATAAAAAAATACAAAATATAAATTGTTCTGTGGGATTAAGATTTCGGATTTGAAATTTTGAGGTTTTTTAATTTTTGGTAGTGCTAGAACTTTCGGAAATTGGAGAATTCGGATGGAATGTTGAAATCTTGGAAATGTGAGATGGGGGAGAGATTATAAAAGTTAATATTTTAGGATTTTTTTTTAAGTCTTAGGATTTGAGATTTTAGGTTTTTTGCTTTGGGATTAAGCTTCATACTCCACCGCACATACTTTTTAATCAATCTGAAAGTAGTTCTCCAATTTAAGGCACCTTGTACCTCTTATAATTACCAAGTTAGCAATAGTGCAGACTTAAGTTTGAAAGCCCTGTAAGACCAAATAAAACGCTTTTACCAATATATTTATATTAAATTAACATATATCCGTGTTTTGCATACACTAATAAAATTTTAGATGTTCCATTCCTTCAGGCATGAAGCTTCTTTTATTATCAACTCCTAAAAATCACTACATGAGAATTTTAGAAAAAAAAAGGGGTAACACAAACCTAATTCTGCTAACAGTTTTTCAGGAATATTCCGTAAATGGAAAGGCACACTGGGTTGAGGACCATGACAATCAGCAATCACCTGCTTGACTTTTTCTAACCTAAAGTACTCTCTCTTCAAAGTGGGCGCACGTGCGAGATAAAGGGCACACTGGGCCAATAAAACCTCCCTATCACCTCTGTCTAACAATTGACAGCCGTGCATTGTGCTAACAGCAAGTTGCAACGAGTTAGGATCTGAATTTCCCATTTCCTCGCTTGCTGCACGTACCAATCGACGAGCTATGAATAATGGATCCTCTCCACTCACTAGCATCCTTGCTGTCCAGTATATGGCGGCATTATCGTTTGAACCTCGGATTGATTCATGCATTGCTGCAATTGTGTTGTGGTGCTCCTCTCCCCTACGATCATACATCATATGCGATTTCTAAATTCGATATTGATTATTACAGCTATGGCAGATAAGTGAAAATACCTTCATTTCCGATTTTATGCTACCATAACCATCATGACATAACATAAGCTGCAGATTGTTCAGAGCAATTCTTGCATCCCCATCACTTGTATCTACCAACCACGTAATGTCAGAATGAGTAATAACTGGCCTAAGATCAGTGATACAAATGCATGTAGAAAATAAAGCATTAATTACCTACCTCTTGCAATTTGTGCCTTGAAATAATTTGTTATGTACAACATTTATGGATAATTGCCTAGTGGTATCTTCCAGAATTGCTATCAAATCACTACGTTTCAGCTTCTGCATCACTATCACACGAAGTAAATTTAATAATGCACTTTTTATGCAAAAGGACGGATTCTCTGTAGTTGCCCCTATGAGCGTTAGTGTCCCTCTTAAAATGTATTCCCACAGTACATCTTGTAGCCGTTTACTGAGTTGGTGTATTTCATCTATAAATACAACCATGTGCAGCCCTAACTTCACCGCTTTTTCTGCTTCCATAATTATCTTTTCCAAGTCTCTTCCACCACAGTTTACTCCACATGTTCCGATGTATCGCAATTTAGTGAAAGTTTTCTCACACATCCCTCGAATTATGTTAGCGAGAGATGTTTTACCACATCCAGGTGGGCCCCATAACACCATATTGGGAACTTCACCTTTACGTAAAAGAGACCTTAATTCTGATCCCTTACCCAAAATTTCGCTATGACCAAAAAAGTTGTCAAGACTGGATGGTTGCATTTCCAGAGGTAAAGGTCTTTTAAATGTAAGAGGGTTTGTAATTGATTGGAGTTTAGCATGCTTACTTGTTGAGGGGCCACCATTGCACGGAAGTACTGAAGTTCGTTTTCTTCCCCGAGTACGATTGGGTTCTGAACTGGTATCAGAGGAATGAAGAAAGAGGCATGTTTCCACATGATTTTCTAATTCATTTGTTGGAAATTCTTTAAAACATACCGGGCAAATTTCCATTACAAATTATTTTTTATGGTTAGATGTTACTGTAACCTCAAAAATTTGAAAATAACAGGGAATAAGGAGTGGCCAATCACAACACAATATATACAGGGTGTGGCTTACTTATCGTGCACAGCATTCGACAGACCTACCGTGTGTCCCAGATTGAACGCACCATAGGCAAACAGAATTAATGTATTTTTTCACAAAGAATAAAGAATCCACGAGGCCTTGATGTGTATTTGAAGTTAGCGTCAACGTACGTTATTGCGCTTGCCTGATGCTAGAAAAAGATTGGAGTAGTACGTGCACGCTAATTTCAAAGGCCTCGTGGATCCTTCCCGAAAAAATACATTGCTGTTTTCCTATGGTGCATTCTACCTGGCCTAGGACACGCTGTACATACGTTAAATAAGAAACACATGTGGGAACGAATTAATCGATGCACCCCAGGTTAGCGCGGTCCGACTGCCGATTCATTGATGTGGGTTCGCTTCGACCTATATAGTGTAGGCGTTGAGTGAATTCACTCAACGGTGTAGGTGAATCCTGGTCAAAGTGGTGTGTGTTGAAGTGATTGTGATATGAATTTAACTTGGTCAACAAAAATTGTATGATACTGTAATTGTATACAGGGTGGTGACTTGCGCAACGCATCATAGGGATTTCAATGTAAAATTCATAACATGCGATTATTGGCTCCCCAAATTATTTTAGAGCAAAAATGTATTAAGGTTTTTTGTAGAAACAAATTTTTTACGTCAATAAACCGTATTAGTTTTCAATTTTTTGCATAATAAAGACGGAAAATTGGAAAAATAAAACCCCCATCTTATCAATAATCTGTGATGCCATGGAATTTTCTAAAACAAAAAGATATCCAATTATCAATTAGCAGCCGTTCGAAATGGATTTTATGATCGACTTGGTTACTGTCTTGCATTTAATGGTGACTTATTCGAACATTTATTGTAAATTGTTATATTAGGAAACCGTTTTGGTCTTTCTTTATGTTGAATTCGCTGTTCTAAATATAATACTTTTTGATAGAATTTGATTTGTTTTATAGCAGACATTCCATCATGACGGATATTGGCGTAGCTTTTTCTATTATAAAATTTCATGGGATCACAGATTATTGAAAAGATGGGGGTTTTATTTTTCCAATTTTCCGTCTTTATTATGCAAAAAATTTAAAACTAATACGGTTTATTGACGTAAAAAATTTGTTTCTACAAAAAACCTTAATACATTTTTGCTCTAAAATAATTTGGGGAGCCAATAATCGCATGTTATGAATTTTACATTGAAATCCCTATGATGCGTTACGCAAGTCACCACCCTGTATACAGTTTGTCAGTAATTGTTGTAGGTATCTGTAAAAGAAAGCGTTGATATACATTTTTTAAGAAGATTCTCTTCCATTTCTAATCAGTTTTGGGCTACTATGGCATTGCTGAGAAAGTATTCTACTTTGATTATATACTATTTTCCATTGTATGATGATTGTAAGCTGTTTTTGTACTGCCTGCACATGAATTAAATATTATTATTATTATTATTATGGTCGGTGTATCTTGTGAGAACTCAGGTCTAGCCTGGTTAACTAATCGCACGGATAAAAATCAAGTAACGATTAGTGTCTGTGTCTGTGTCTGGTGAAGTTATGTAGGGTCCTAAAAAAAATAAAAGAAATAAATAAATAAAATAAAAATTCACACCCTCACATTGAAAATCTAGAGATAGTATGTATTTCATACATACCAACATAGCTATTGATGGGCACAATAGCCAACGCTATCAGGAAAGAGGAAAACAAAACAAACAAACAAAATCATTATAATAATTCCTGTAATTTTATTAAATGGAGTTTATTGTGTAAGTGTTTCTTTGGCTTTGCGTTTGGGTTGAATACGAGTGGGTTGTGATAACGTGGTGTGTTTCTGTGAAGTAGGAGTTTTGTGTTTTTTAGCTGTGGTATTAGGACGTGTAATTTTATTGGGTGGACCTGTCTTTGTGGTGCATGTTGCCTTACTTGTATTTATGGTGTTTCTTTGTTCTTGAGGTTGTATTTGTGTGGTTGCTTGGGTTATTGGTGGAGACATTACAGTATTTTGTGAGCCTGTAGTGCTGTTAAGGTTGTTGCGTTTGAGTTGAGTACGAGTGGGTTGTGATAACGTGGTGTGCTTCTGTGAAGAAGGAGTTTTGTGTTTTTTAACTGTGCTAGGACATGTAATTTTATTGGGCGGACCTGTCTTTGTGGTGCATGTTGTCTTACATGTATTTATGGTGTTTCGTTGTTCTTGAAGTTGTATTTGTGTGGTTGCTTGGGTTTTTGGTGGAGATATTGCAGTATTTTGTGTGGTGCTGTTAAGGTTTTTGCGCTTCGGTTGTATACGAGTGGATTGTTTCTGAGAAGAAGGAGTTATTATTATTATTATTATTATTATTATTATTATTATTATTATTATTATTATTATTGTTACTACAATCAAAGGTATTCTACATAAAAGTGTAGAAAATGGCATCAGACACGAGACAGGATGAGAAGGCACAGGATACACTAATCCATAAAAAAATTCTAAATTATGTCAAGCTGTCATTTGGACATGAAGTCTTTCAACTGAAAAAATAAAGATTTGTCTTGTTCAAAAGTGATGGGAGGTGGTAGGGGGCGGGGGGTCGACAAACCATGGGAAAAGATTCTTTTCTACACAGCAGTATAATATCCGTTATAACCTTAGGGAGCCTTACCTACCGCTGGCAACTTTCATGTTAAAACCATAGACATTTCGCGTCACTTTCAAATCTCGCTGACAGTCGATTATCACACAAGCAAACCGATCTACTAAGCAGGAAAAAATTAATTAATTAGAGAACCTCCCTTCTGATATTCCTAAGACACAGGAACTGCAGTTCTCACGGGACGAGAAAGAAACAGATACAGCGAAAATCGGAACTGTATTTAGGTGCTTTCTCCACCGTATAATTAATCGACTCAGGGCAACAACACACTGAGTAAATAAATACTATTGATGTGATACGAAATTTAAAGATTAAAATTTAAAGATTTCAAGAAGAAAAAAATGATTATTCCTGTAATACTCGTATTATTCATTTCAAAACACAAACAAAGAAATAAACATTGAGAAACCGACTCGCTTGCACGTTATTCGAGGACTCGAAAAATAGTAATCCACGCCGACTTTTCTGCCAAGCTTCATACCCAAAAAATTACTGTTCTCAGAAGCTGCGCAGAACTGTCAAGACTTGTCACGATTACTGTATACAGTGTTTTTTTTTCAATAGTGGTATTCTTCCAGTTGTAAGGTGTGTTGTCTATCCGTAGTGGTATGTCAAGATATAATTAATGAAATTCTGATGTGCCCTGAATGTTTTAGTTGTACAATTTTGTTATTGCAATTGTAATTGTTGCGTCTTATATGGCGTTTTTACATTTCCACCTAGGCAAATTACTCACTTCAATTCCCTTTTTCCTATAAAAAAAAATACACTTAGCACGGCAACGGAAACGCAAATGTTCAACTTCAACCAACTTTTCCGTAGTAAACGGACGACGTACGATTCAAAAATTTGCTCTCTTCTGATTGGCTAACGGACAAACTGAAACGTATGAACGGAGGGCTGTGAATTCAAGGTTTGATTAATCAAATTGGCAACCTTGCTTTGCATTGCAGTAGTGGCAATTTTTTTAAATGTTTCATCACATTTTAATCGCTTCTTTTCAAAAAACGTATTGCCGATTACGGTAAAAGAACTTACAAAATACTTACTTTTGTAGGTAAAGACAACATAAATTAAGTAATGGCAGATGCAGGTACAGAAAAGCTATCAAAAAAGTAAGTTCACATTTGGAAATGCAAAAATTGATGTAATATAACCTCAATATGCTGCAACGTTTTAAAGCCCTTACCATATTGAAAAAGACATCTTTTTTGCATTCTAAATATTCAAGTGTAGCTAAAAGGTAGGTTAAGTAGGTTTCAAAAACTAATTACTTCATATTCACTTAACAGTGAGCTGAAAAGGCGACTAAAAGCTGAACAAAAGGCAAAAGAAAAGGCAGATAAAGTTGCGCAACAACCACAAGTAACTGCAGCTGTTAAAAAAGTTGCCGAAGAGGAGATAAGCCCAAATGAATACTTTAAGTTACGTAGCCAGGCGGTTTCGAAATTGAAACAGCTTGGAAATGAACAGCAGCCGTACCCCCATAAATTTCATGTGTCCACGTCACTTGAAGATTACATTGCCAAGTATTCAAACCTACAAGATGGGGAAATTGTGGAATCTGATAGCGTAAGCGTGGCAGGTCGCATCCATGCGATACGTGAATCCGGAGCCAAACTTATATTTTATGATCTTCGAGGTGAAGGCACCAAATTGCAAATCATGGCAACGGCAAAACACTATTACGATGAAGTTAAATTTACAGAAGATACCGATAAAATAAGAAGAGGCGATATTGTTGGTGTTGAAGGAAATCCAACCAAAACCAAAAAAGGAGAGTTATCTATAATGCCCAAACGAATCAAATTACTTTCTCCGTGTTTGCACATGTTGCCCCACTTACATTTTGGACTGAAAGACAAAGAAACCAGATTTAGACAAAGATATTTAGATCTCATATTGAACAACCGTGTGCGAATTATATTTGAAACACGCGCAAAAATTATTGCATACGTTAGGAAATTCTTGGACCAACTAGGATTTTTAGAAATTGAAACGCCAATGATGAATATGATTGCTGGAGGTGCGACCGCTAAACCCTTCGTGACGTATCATAACGAGCTCAATATGCAGTTATACATGAGAATCGCACCTGAGCTGTACCACAAGATGCTAGTTGTCGGCGGCCTAGATCGCGTATACGAAATCGGCCGACAATTTCGAAATGAAGGTATCGATCTGACCCACAATCCCGAATTCACCACCTGCGAATTTTACATGGCGTATGCGGATTATAATGATTTAATGACCCTTACCGAGACTATGATCTCCGGAATGGTTTATAGTATACATGGAACGTATAAAGTCAAATATCATCCGGATGGTCCTGATGGTGAAGAGGTTGAAATAGATTTTACCCCTCCTTTTAAGCGAATTCCGATGTTGCCAGCTTTAGAAAAAGCTTTGAATGTCAAGTTTCCATCTCCCAATGAACTTGTCAGTGATGCTGGTAAGTTAAATGTATGTCATGAATAAGTTAGGACTGATAATCAGCTATCAAAAATAATGAATTACTCACTTCATTATCAAAACGTGATTGATTATGGATTTATCAATTAAAAAACAATGGTCCTAGTGCTACTGTGCACTTGTATCGGTATACCATTTACCAGCCTTCTTAATGTTTTGCAATTGCAGGTGTCAAACTCTTAAGTGATCTATGCGTAAAGCACGAAATTGAATGTCCACCTCCTCGCACTGCGGCAAGATTATTGGACAAACTCGTAGGCGAATTTATTGAAGAAGGTTGTATTAATCCGACGTACATCATCGAACATCCCCAAATAATGAGTCCTCTCGCTAAATGGCACAGATCGATTCCGGGTCTAACTGAGAGATTCGAACTGTTCGCGATGAAGAAAGAAATTTGCAACGCCTACACGGAACTAAACGATCCGGTTGTTCAGCGTGAGCGATTCGAACAGCAAGCCAAAGATAAGGCTGCCGGCGATGAGGAAGCGC